AAATGATTTTATTTATTGAAATTATTAAATAGATGCTGCCTTATTGGGACAACAAAGCCCTCCCTATAGCCTGTCTACCCCTAATTAATACATTATTATTAAATACTCATTAAGCAATTGATTTCCACTTTTCCGATGTGATATTTGATGAGAAAAGGAAGAAATGCATTACTCTCCAACCAACCCCACTGACGCTAAATAACACTGTCCAACGAGATGAAATGAACATGAGACGAGTGTGTTTATTCTCGACTTTTTTCTCAGACAGACAGACAGACAGATAGACAGATAGATAGATAGATAGATATATTTAGTTTTTTATAGACAGACAGATAGATAGATAGATAGATAGATAGATTTAGTTTTTTATAGATAGACAGACAGACAGACAGATAGATAGATAGATTTAGTTTTTATAGATAGATAGATAGATAGATAGTAGATTATATTATCTGTAGAATAACTGTACTCTTAAGAAGATCTGTTTAATATCATTTGGAGTCTTTAACTAATACCTGAGATAATCTCTGCTTTTAATATTCATGTTAGGTTTGAAGACATCAGAGGTCATTTGCCTCGTCAAGGATCATTTATCACAGATAGAGCCTCGTCTCTCCACTGCCCATCATGCTGCTCTCCTGGACTATATTGTGAAAACATACGTTCCTCATCAGCGGCTCTATCAGGCGGTTTTAAACGGTGAGACGGGTGTTAAACACATCAGATGCGAGCTCGAGATTGAAAGCCCCCCTCACCCGCGGCCCCTCAGTGAGGGAACAGATGCTGTGGAGTGGGAACATCAGCGGGATCTCAAAGAGCTGAGTTTGGCTCAGTCCAGAAAAGAAGCTGAAATCAAGGAACTCAAAGAGACGGCTGAAGCTCAGATGATGGCAACACTGCAGACCAGTTTAAACAGACTTCCATATGAAGGCCGGATGAGCATGCAGGTACAAGATATCAGTTATTTACAGTATCCACCTTATTTTGCAACATTGAAGCTATTTTCTGTGAAAGATACTAACACCAGAAGCCTCACACACTGATGTCGCACCTACTCTTATGTTAAAAATGATTTTATTTATTGAAATTATTAAATAGATGCTGCCTTATTGGGACAACAAAGCCCTCCCTATAGCCTGTCTACCCCTAATTAATACATTATTATTAAATACTCATTAAGCAATTGATTTCCACTTTTCCGATGTGATATTTGATGAGAAAAGGAAGAAATGCATTACTCTCCAACCAACCCCACTGACGCTAAATAACACTGTCCAACGAGATGAAATGAACATGAGACGAGTGTGTTTATTCTCGACTTTTTTCTCGAAATTTAATTAGCTTTTTCTCACAGTTTAACGACTTTTTTCTCGTAATTTACTGAGTTTATTCTCAACATTTTCAACTTTTTTCTCGAAATTTAACGACCTTTTTCTCGTAATTTAATGAGTTTATTCTCAACATTTTATCTCGACTTTTTTTCTCGCAATTTAACAACTTTTTTCTCGTAATATAATGAGTTTATTCTCAACATTTTATTTCGACTTTTTTTCTCGAAATTTAACAAGTTTTTTCTCGAAACATAATGACTTTATTCTCGAAATGTAACGAGTTTAATCTCAACATTTTATCTCAACTTTTTTTCTTGAAATTTAACGTTTTTTTTTCTTGAAATTTAACGACTTTAATTTTTTTATTATTGCTTGGCCCTAATCCTCTTCCGTATTCATAGGTTTCTTACTGATCTACTGTTTAATTCTTGCATCTAGAAATTGCTCTATAAATTCATTCAATGTTTGTCTATAGGATATTTAAAAAAAAAAAAGATTGCTTTGAAAAGTTAAGTAAATGGTAATAGTGATGCTTGTCTTACTACACACTGCATACTGATGATTTATAATAAGAATATAAGTTTGCATTGTATTTGAGCAACGTTTCATTGACGTGTTCATCAAAAGGAAGAAATGTACGTAGGCGGATTGTTTGGACAGTAACCTGAAATGTAGCTTCCTGCTCAGCGCTGATATAAAACAGGATTGTGATCCTCCTAAGCTGCCCTGTAGCTGGTGGCACACTGTTACCTTTTCAAAAACCATCAAAGTTAATCTGCAAGCTATTGGCGAGCGGCTCTGCTGCGTAACCGCTACCAGCACTGACCTAAAAACTGTATTTTGCAGACTTTGCCATTTTGTAGCACAGTGTGAAATGTGAAGGCTGTAATAATTCATACTGACACAAGCAACAGAGGATTATTTCTGTTGTGTATTATCTCACGGTTATCACCCTCATACTGAAGACATCCACAGCTCGACCACTTCTTACTTAATATCTTAAGGCTGTCAGCAGTTACCAGATAAGATGGATTAAAGGAACACACAACAGCGCTGTTATTTAACCCTGCTGAGCACAACAGCCACGGCCACTTTTTCAGCAGCTTTGGTTCCAGATGTATTTGTCCTAGTTGAAATAACACTTGGACTAAGACTTGTGGCCTCTACAGTAGCACATATCATCGCTTAACAGCCTCAGAGCTCGTGGTAGGTCTGCCTCCAAAGGTTTATAAGCTATCACCGAAAATCAATTTCTCTGTGGAGAAAATAAATGGGATTTTTACTTCAGAGACCCAAAGATGAAGAGCTTGAAAAGAGTCCGCACATTCAAACATTAAAGCATCACAAGCGAGATGAGAACGATATATGCAATTTACTGAATAAAACAAGGCCTTGTTTTATTCAGTAAATTGCATATATCGTTCTCATCTCGCTTGTGATGCTTTAATGTTTGAATGTGCGGACTCTTTTCAAGCTCTTCATCTTTGGGTAACCTTTTTTGGTCCACGCACTTCAGTTGGATTTTTTTGAAGGCGCGGTGAGTCTCTGGCTGCTTCTCTGATACTTCAGAGACCCAGCTTTTTTCTCTCTATTCTCTCACTGGAAAACAATGTGAATATTTGTCTGATGGGAAACAAGCTAAAGCAAACAAATGGGTTTTATTGCGACTAATTATACTAATGTTTCATTAAGCTCTTTTTGGTGCTTAATGAAACTCAATGGGAATAAAATGAATGATATGGATCTTCTTTTTGTTTCATATTCTCTACTGTAGGAGGTTGAAGAATTGCTGCACAGTTTTCTACAGTCGCAGGGAGAGATTATCATGGAGTCTCTGATGAAGGAAGTTTGTCTCACAGAGGATCTGTTGAGCCAGAAGTCTCAACTAGTACAAAGACACCGTACAAATCAACCGGGTTTGCCTGGAAAGAACTGTGTGGCGACTCCCACAAAATCAAAGAAGAAGAGAAATTGAAATACAGTTGTATAAAATGTCTATTTTGAGATATTTGTGAAAATTAAAGATTGATACCTGCTCTGTATGTATGTGTTGTGTGTAGAGTCCACATCAAAACTAGAGCTAATACGGTTGATTTCTACAAACCCAGTTCACTCATGTTGACCAAATGGAGTGATAAATTAGGAAATTCACACCCACATCCAAAAGAGTTCCTAAACATTTGCAGTGACCACAGAAAACCAGCAGCAGCTCTGACTGCGTTTCATTAAGCATATGAACATTTTGGCAGTGAGGTTTCACTACTTTTAAAATTGTTTGTGCAGTTTCATCTGGCCAAAATCAAGCCAAGGTTGTTTTATACAACCTAAAAGGACAGTTTAATCGGATTAATGTTCTTCAAAATATATTATTTTCTGAAGAAAGCAAGAAAATCAGACAGGTTTGTAAATAATGACATAATTTACATTTTTGGGTGAACTCAGAACTATCCCTTTAAGATTGCATCAAATGTAGAAGACAGTGATTCTCAAATGATTCTTAAAAATGTATTCAATAATCTTTTGCTGGCATTACATTAACAACTAAACCAAACATCAAAGATACATACATATATATTGTGGAGTTACATTTGTCAAGTCTTTATAATTAGATTAAATGTTCCCTCAAGTACAAAAAAATCTAATCCAGCTACACCGTAAGCACCATAATGAGGTTATTAGGTTATTTTAATAAAACCAAAAGAGGCTAATAATGCCTTTCAGAAATAGCACCATATTTAGGATTGTTGTTTTATGATATTGCATTTCTTCCATAAAATCTTTTAAATACCACTACCATTCAAAAGTTTGGAGTCTGTAAGATTTTTATACTTTTGAAATTATTTGTTAAAAATATATTAAAAACAGTAATAATGTGAAATATTAGGTAACACTTTAGTATAGCTACCAATTCTCACCATTAACTAGTTGCTTATTAAACATGGATCCGCACGTCTCACGTCTTGTCAGCCCCGTAACACTACCCAATACCTAAACTTAACTGCCTTATTAACTATTAATAAACAGCAAATTAGGAGTTTGAGGCAAAAGTCATAGTTAATTGTTTGTTAATACAGAGAATTGGACCTTAAAATAAAGTGTGACCAAATATTATTACAATTTCAAATAATTATTTTCTTTTGTAATATAATTTAAAATGTATTTTATTTCTGTGATGGTAAAGCTGAATTTTCAGCACCATTACTCCAGTCTTCAGTGTCACAATAAAATTCATTTCTTTCAAGATTAAAAAATCTTTCTCACCCCAAACGTTTGAACAGTAGTGTAAATTATTCTAGCAAAAAAAATTATCTATAGCTCAGAATTTAGTAAATTCACTGATAAAAAACTAAATTATTTTAAACTGATTGCTACAGAACAAAGATTCCACAAAACAAATTTAGGCTTAAATAATATCAAATATATAATCATGAAGGTTATTAAATTATTAAGATGATTGCGGAGAATAATGATATAACTGAACGCTGTAAATCTTTGGTTTACTTCACCAGGAAAAGTGTGCAAATATGTGCTACATATGGAAAAATGAAGAAAGTCTGACCTTCATTAATCTCAGTGCGTTACATAGTATACTGCAGAGCCCAATTACCATCCGTTCCATTAGGTCCCAAACATCTCAGCTAAACTCAGACACATGATTGCAGATGGTGTTCAGTTGGCTCGAAGCATTCTGAAGTTTGAGCCAGTGAAGTTGAGCATCGTCTGAATCAGCTCTGGCAAACCATAGTTGTGTTTCCAGCCCCAGTCACTGCGGGCATTGCTGTCATCAAAGACCATTGGCCAGCTGTCAGCTACAAGAAATAATACAGAAACTATTTGGAATGATAAATAAAGATGGGATAAAATTACATATTCTGCTAAATGGTTTTTTTTGCATTGCATATCCACCAAAGATTATGCATTGCATGACCAGAATACATTGCAATGGAGTGCAATACATCTTTGTTTACACAGATGCATTAACACAGATATTTTAGTATTATTTACTATTATAGTAGTTACTAATATTTTGGATTAGCTTTTATTTTTATATTTTCAGTTTTCATTTTAGTTGAAGTGTTAGGCATTTTATTATGTGCTTCAATTGTGTCATTTTATTAGTTTTTTTCTATTTCTATTTCTATTTATTTTTATTACAGTTAGTTGTCAAGGCAACATTTACTTTAAAGTTTTTTTAAGTTTGGGTTTTTCATCAAATTTATTTCAGCTTTATGTAAATTTTTAATATTCTTATTTTACAATAACAACACATGGCAACATTTATCATTTTGTTTTACATTTTAAAATTTTCATCTAATATTTCTATTTTATTTCAGCTTTATTTTACTTTGGAATACTTTTAGTTTACAATAACAACACATGGCTACATTTCTGTTTTCTTTCTGCTTTTATTTTATTTTCAGATATTAAGCTTAATTTTTTATACTTTACAATAACAACACACAGCAACATTTTCTAATTTTCTAAGTTTAAGTGTTTCATCTTATATTTTTAGCTTTATTCAAATTTTAATAGCTTTAGTTTCCATAAAACACAAGGCAACATTTTTAGTTTTCTAATATTTCTATTTTATTTCAGCTTTATTTACTTTATTTAATAGTTTTAGTTTACAGTAAGAACACGGCAACATTCTCTAATTTAAGTTTTAATAATTTTTTTTTTTTAAGTTAAGTTTTTCATCTAATATATTTAATTTTCTTTCAGCTTACCTGTAGTTCCTCCACCGGGTTGAGAGTCTGCAGAAATGATTCCTGGGTATCTGAGACAGCGGAAGTCAAGACCATACCTGTGATGGTAATACTGTAATACACAATACAGAAATGTAAAGACTTGAATATTGCATCACAAAGCTGATACACTGTGATAAAGAAAAACAAAGCTAGAAATATTAATATGCATTAAGACCTCATGAAACTAGATGTATTTCCTACTACCTACAGGTACATATCACGCTTGTACTCTCATTTTTTTCATTTAATATAATGCTAAAATTAAAGTGCCAACAAAGGTTCAGGATTTGCCGGTGTTCTCTCAAAAGCATACCGACCTCTCCCATTAGCTCAGCGTGAACCTTGGACACTTCGTAAATGGTTCGTGGGCGCTGGATGCACAGATCCGGGTTTGGGTTACGAGGGGACATGGGGCCAAAGGCTCCAATAGTGCTGGGGATGAAGAGACGGAGCCCATGTTCTGTTGCGACATCAAGAACATTGTGCAACCCTAAAAATGAGAAAACAAGAAAAGAAACATCAGTGTACCTCACCGCTGAAAAGAGACTGAAGATGACTGACCTCGGTGACTAACCAGTGATGTTGACGTCACGAGCGAGGGACACATTGGCCTCTCCGACTGCACTCAGTAGGGCGCTGTAGTGTATCAACCAGGAGATGCGGTTGTTTACAACAATCTCACACAAGTTCTTGTAGTCCAAAATGTCAGAAAATATAAAGGGACCTGAGGTGAAAATTTAAGAGTCTAAAATTAATATAAAAATAAAAATAAATTAAATTAAAAATAAATAATATGCATGTAAATTATTAACATTTATATTGTGTGTATATATAAATAGTATATAAATATTCTAAAAGTAAAATACATTCAAATTTAAAATATAGATCAATATAATCTATAACTATAATTTTAAACTAATCTACATAGTTTCATGTACATACAACATTTTTGGAGAAGACCTACGACTAAAATGTCACACCACAAGTGAATAGAACAAGTAAACATTTGTTTAAGTAAATGACAAAAAATAAATATAAATAATTAAAAATGTAAAATAATAAAATAAAGATTTTAAAACAGGCATATAAATATTTGTATTTATTAAAAGCATTTTTATTTATTTTTGCCAATTTTATTATATATTTTAAATATGAAATATTAATTTACATATACATACATTAATATATATTTAAAAAATAAAATATATTTAAATTCAAAATGCAGATCAGTTTATATTTATGAACTCATACATGTGCATATATCAAATTTGTAGAAGAATTGTGACTAAAATGTGCATTTACTGACTATATCTTTTCAATAAATAAAGGTACATGAAGTCAACATTTACAATTAAGTGCCAAAAAAAAAAAATATATAGATTTAAATACTGAAAGAGGTATATCAATGTTCATATATTATAAACATGATTTATTTTTGTAATTTTATTTTATTATACATTTTATTTAAATATTCACATTTACAGCGACATATATTAGTAAATATTTTAAAAATAAAATATATTTAAATTCAAAATATAGATCAATATATATTATTAATAAATTGTACATGTACAGTACATACATCACTTTTGGAGAAGAAATGTGAAATGTTTCAGTTTCTAGGATGCTGCCCACTGTGTGAATATACTGACACTCACCGCTTTGGTAAACATGAGCTGGCGGTTTCCTGATATCAGACAGAATTACATTATATTTTCCAAACTGCTTCCTGTAAAAAAGGGAAATAAACAAAAAAAAATGTCTGGAAAGTCATGCATAAAAATTCCTTACAGCTTGACAGATATTACTGTGACAACCCTAGATTCTGTAGTCAGCAAACAAAAAGTTGCTGCACTTTTTTAGCCAATCAGAAACAGCCCCTGCCTGTCTGCCTTTCACATGGTGACAGCTGGTTGGTTAAAATGTCATAGGGGGCGGGGTCTTCAGTGTGAAGTTCTAAAATCATCTGAAAGCGCTTCAGTCTCACCTGAGCAGTTTGGCGAGCCCTACTCCCAGCTGACCCAGACCTCCTGAAATAAAAACAGACAGAAAATATGATTAAATCTCATCATCAGTGATGTGTTGCCATGGAGACTACGTTCCATGCTTCAGAATGTGGTAACCAGGGAAACATGGCATGTAAAGGTTTATATAACATCCCTTTAGGCCTCAAAGCATCATAAAAAAGACAATCTTTATAAATAGGATTACACAATAAACGGTGCATCACAAAAGTGTAGGGAGTAACGCAATATTGTAATGCATTACTTTTAAAAGTAACTTTCCCCAACACTGGTTGCTACATGTATCGCTTCTGACTCTGAATATGTTACAATGTGTCAGTCCGGCGGCGGCGGGAATAGCAAAGGCTCGCTGTTACAATGAAACATTCCTGCAGAATATCACGTCATTCATTCAAATTATGCTATAAAGTGCTGACAACATAGATAAGAGAATATTGATTTACTCACCGCCCAAATGTCTAGAATAAAAGGGGAAAGAAACGGGTAAAAGACCTGTATGCTCTTACTTATGCAACTGCATAGGAGTTGCAGAGGATCAGGTGTACATGTCTTTGACAGGACTGACCATCAGTTCTTCTTTGACCATCAGGATTGCATCAGCTACAGGTCTCCTATAGGGAGCGTGAGCCGCTGTCTGCTGTGATTGGTCAGTCAACCCAAGACACGCCCACTTTACATTGTATACAATGATTACATTAGTAAATTAGCTTCGTTTTGTTATTATACTGGCCTCAAAACTTTTAAACACACTCAAATGTAATTTAATATAACATTAAAAAAATTTAAAATACAAAATTTAAAGTCAAAGGAAGATTTTTGACATTTATTTTACAGAAAGATGGCACAAAATACTTTTCACTTGCTTTGATATTATCTGTATTCATAGTTTATTATAATTATTTCATAAGTTCCATTTTTTAAACAACATATATTGTCAGAACAAAAATAAAAATAATAATAAAAAATAAATATAAATGGGTTTTCTTTTTCTTGCAACATTATAAATAGCTTGTGAACTTAGTCTTTATTTCAGCTCTATTTGTATGATGAATATGTGGCATTTTATTTCTTACTCAAATGACAGAGATGATGTTTCCCTGCCTCCTACATAGACCGTTAATAATCTGGTAATGGACTTGACCTATATATGTACATAAACTTTGGTACTTGAATTCAGCATTATAATGTAAACCAGAGCAATAATGAACACAAATAACCTTCTTTATGAATGACTGAGTATTTTAGCCTCTCCTCAGACAGAAGACTCAGAGAGGTTATTGTGCTCAGAATATTTATTTAGTCTAAGTGAATCAATTCCATGTCTTTCACAAGGAGCCAGTGGAAATTTCCTCTGTCTTGTAATTAACTAGCAAGAGTACTACAGAATCTGAACATCTATTCTCATTAAAGGGTTTCCTTATATAAAGTGTTGAACTCAGTGAACCCTTGAACATGGACTGTGTGTCACTGTGATGTGCTGGAAGACTTGTAGGGCTTGCTTCCAAAGGACTTTTCCCACACCTGCATGACATTTAGCACCCAATCAGGCTTGTGGGAATTTTCATGAGTCACATTCCTCGTTCTTTCCCCACTCACTTGCAAAAGAGTAACATCCTTGAAACAAAAACCACACCAAATATGAACCAAACTGTTACACTGATTATTGGATAATATATTTATTTATAATAAAATGATATTAAATAAGAGAAAATGCATATTAATGATCATTACTTCATGAATTTTAAAAGTGAAAATAATGCTATTTTAATTAAAAAAAAACCCTAACCATTTAAAAAAAAAAAAACCTAATGGCACACCCAAAAAAAGAAGAAGAAAAAAAGCTGAAAAAAATTGCAATAAAAATATTACATTATTAAACAATATATATACAATATTTAAATATTATTTAAATAATATTTTATGTACAGCAGTCTTATGTCAGTGGCCATATGTCTTGTGCATACTGAATAAACGGTGTGTCTTTCACAGCACGAGTGTCAGGTTTGCGGGTATGAGGCGAGGACTCAAATGCAGGAAGAAATGGGCTTTTAATGATAATAATTAAAACAAAACAACAACAAAAACTACCCCAAGGGGGAAAATAGGCAGGCAGGACAGGACAGGCCAGGGCAGGGCAGGCCACAGGCCGTAGCACAGCAAGGCAAGGCAAGGCAGGACAGGACAGGACAGGACAGGACCCAACAGTACACATACATACAAACAACGGATCAGCACAGGACTGCAGACACCAGGAGAATAAATAGGGAGACAACCAAGGA